ATCGAACAAGAAGCACTGGGCTTAAACTGCAGCAAGGGAGGTTTAGGTTGGACATTAGGAAAAAGTTCCTGTCAGGGTGGTTAAACACTGGAATAAATTGCCTAGGGAGGTTGTGGAATCTCCATCACTGGAGATATTTAAGAGTAGGTTAGATAAATGTCTATCAGGGATGGTCTATACAGTATTTGGTCCTGCCATGCGGGCAGGGGACTGGACTCGATGACCTCTCGAGGTCCCTTCCAGTCCTAGAATATATGAATCTATGAATATCCTTCACCTCCTGGGTTCCAATCATGCTTCTCAGCATGGCAGGCTTCAGTAATATCCGTAAGGCCTGCTTTTTCCTAACATATGGTTGCTGCAGTGACTCATCCTTAAAGTGTCAAAATGTATTAACCCAAGAAGGGGTCTGGGCAATATGCTAGAATGCTCAGTGTTTGTACCAACCCATCTTGAATGGAGCTCATTGCCTGCTGATCACCTCTCCTCCCAGTCAAAAATGTTAGAAGATGATAAAAGTGCATGTTTAAGAACATTCTGTGTCCATTCAGCCCTTGTTGGAAAAACTATAATTCATTTGAAAGTTGGATTTTCATTCTGATAAAGGTTAGTGTAGAGATAGGAGTAGCTAATAGATATTAGAACCATCATTTTAATCTCCTGTAGTGAGCTATACTGTAAGACCTGAAATGTCACATTTTCACTGTTCACAATCTTTAATTAAACTTCAAGTTGAAAAAGTTAGTGTCCTGTCTCCCTGCTGCCCACACACTAACAACCTGACAGCAGTGAAGGAATGGCGTAGTAAACAAGCCTCCTTCTGACATGAAAAGAGCTAGATAAGGACTTATGCTGCTGTTCTACCTCTTGGCTATAATGCATAGAATAAAGAACAAGCAACTGTGAATGATGTGTTTTGGTGGTGTTTATCACACACCATATAAGCAATCATCAGAACTCTCCCCTCCCACCCCCACGAAACACTTGCAGTCTTTGCTTGTTTTATATAATCATAGAAACATAGAGCTGGAAGGGACCTCAAGGTTTTCTAGTCCAGCCCCTTGTGCTGAGGCAGCACCAAGTATACCTAGATAATCCCGACATGTGTTTGTGACCTGTTCTTAAAAACCTAACAGAGATTCCCCAATCTCCTTGGAAGCCTATTCCAGTGCTTAACATGCCTTATAGTTAAAGTTTTTTTCCTAATATTAACCTAAATCTCCCTTGCTGCAGATTAAGCCCATTATTTCTCATCTTACCTTTCGTGGGCATGGAAAATTGTTAATCTTCTCTTTATAGCAGCCATTAACATACATGAAGACTCAGTCGTCTTTTTCAAGAGTAAACAAACCTTTCCTCATAGGTCAGGTTTTCTAAATATTTTATCTTTTTTTTGCTCTCCTCCGGATTCTTCTCAGTTTGACCACATCTTTCTTAAAGTGTGGCACCCAAACTGCATCTGGTACATACATCTGATTCCTGCCCTTGTGTCCCACACCTATTACCCACTCATCCTCTCCTCCCTGTGAACTACTCTTGTTTTGAACATGGGTTGCTATGTGCTTTTGCACTCCAAGTTGTGGGTGCCAATAAATTGCCAGTTATACACAGAATTTTATTCTGTTTCAGTCTGTGCAATTTCTTGTTTGTGATGGTGTCATCATTGTCCATCTTACATAGTGTTGGTCCTTAGGCATTTCAAATATGTGTTGCTATGGTAATCTACCTTGCTGTGTCTGGCTGAAATTTTTCTTAGCATCATCAAGTACAATTTTCTTACTTCTATCACCATTCATAACAATTATTCCAGTTTCAACTCAAAGAAAACCCCCAAAACCCTCCTTCTGGTTTCTGCACCTCCAAAGTCCATGAAAGGCTTTGCAGATCCAGAACTTTTGAATGAGCAAGGCATGGAGCACAGCCACCTCCAGACTTAATCTGGATAGCCAGAGTTTTCCATCCTGAATCTGATTCAATGTCATTGTCACCAATTTCCACACTATGCATGAAACTGGCAATGCGCTTCATGCACAAAGGGCATCAACACAAACAGGTTCGCTTGTGCTATGCAGCTATATGACTTCATTTGCTGATTCATCTTTGAAACTGATATTTTATGTTTTGAAAGGAAAATAGTTACTTGAAAGGACTCGCCACAAAATTCATGTTTGGCTTGTTCATATAACTTTACTGAATCCATTCAAAAAATAAACAGAACTATAAGGTGGAATGAATTGTCAGAGAATACAAAGGTCACATCATTCTTTACACATCATTAATTTAAATCCATAGATTAAGAGGATGAGCTATTTACCTCATATGAGAACAAAATTAAGTTTCTTTAGTGAAAGGACAAATATTCAGGTAAGCAGCCAGACAAATGTATTCCGGTTAAGGAGAGCTTACTCTACTATCTATAAAAATAGAACAACATTTTAAAATTTCTTTAGATAGATTCTTTAAGGTCAACTAATGGGATTATGTAGAGACAGGACACAGCAGGCTAGTAATTTCACTTTAAACCAGTGGTCTCCAACCTTTTTACCCCCAAGATCACTTTTTTGAATCTAAGGACAACTCAAGATCTACCCCACTCCATTCCCCCCTCTCCCTGTCGCTCACTCTCCCCAATCCTTACTCACTTTCACCAGGCTGGGGCAGGGGGTTGGGATTCAGGAGGGGATGTGGGCTCTAGGCTGGGGCTGAGCGGTTTGTGGTGTGAGAGGGGGCTCTGAGCTGAGCCTGGGGCAGGGGGTTGGGGTGGAGGAGGAGGGTGTGAGGGGTCCAAACTCTAGGAGGGAGTGTTGGGGTGCAGGCTCCAGGAGGGAGTTTGGGTGCAGGAGGGGGCTCCAGGCTGGGGCAGAGTGTTGGGGTGCAGGAGAGGGTACAGGGTGCTGGCTCTGGAAGGGGGCTCAGGGATGGGGGTTGGGGTGTGGCCTCCCGCCGGGCAGCACTTGCCTCCAGTGGCTCCCAGTCAGCAGTGGGCGCAGCGAAGCTAAGGCAGGCTCCATGCGTACCCTGCCCCCACGCTGCTCCCGGAAGGGGCCAATGCGCCCCTGCTGCCCCTGGGGTGGGGAGGGCAGAGGACATGTGGCTCCGCGCCCTGCCCTTCTCTGCAAGCACTGCCCCCCACAGCTCTCCCAGCTAATGGGAGCTGCAAGGGCGGTGCTCGCAGGCAGAAGCAGCACACAGGGAGGGAGACCCCTGCCCTCCCACCCCCGGGGCCACAGTGGCCGCTTCCAGGAGAGGTGTGGGGGCAGGGTAGCCTTAAGCAGCCATACTGTGCTGCCACCGGAAATCGCGATCGACCAGTTGGTGACCACTGCTTTAAACCATAGTCTAATTCCCATCCTGCCAAGGCCCAAATGTGCGTGATGAGTTTTAAGAATGTTTGGCAAAGACTCATGATGAGGGATACCACACCAAACAACCAATGGGGAAATGTGGAGTTCTTTTTCTTAATTAAAATAGGATGTTTCATAATCTTGCTTTCCTTATTTTGTATTTGTTAATAAAATTTGGTGATTTTAAAAAGGAGGGATGGTGACAAATTTGGGCCTAAAATTATGTTTGTTTCCCATATGGAAACGCTGTTGGCTGATGTGCCTTAATCAAAATCGGGGCAGCACAGTTTCTTCTGTGTGAGAGACCTAGAATGTGTACATGTACACTCTTATTTTTATAGAGACTATTGAAAATGACAGGACTACAAACATGGGTAAAGAGGGCAGGATATTACCCCATGTACAGCAGGACTGGAAAGTGAAAGAACACCAAGTCTAAAAAAAGTTTTAAAAACTACCATAGCTAAAAAAAAACACACCACATTTACTTTAAACAGAGCATAATTTTGGATAGCCATGATACAATTGGTATAAAAATGCCCATTTTTCTCAAATGACACAAACTGATAAGAAATTAAAAATCTTTTTTCCCCCCCCTCCAGTGTTGTTGTAACCATGTTCGTAGGTTGACCTAGATCAACATAGGTGAGCACTCGTTTACACAATTCATATATTTGAATGTGTATACATTATTCAAAGCACTAATCACCTAAACTTCCCTCATTTGCCAACATTTAAATTCTGCTAGATAAGGTTTCCAATCAGTTCCCCTCTTACAGAGCAGAGTACTTGAAGCTGTACTGTAAATACAAATTCATATGCTCACAAAGGCTGACCTTTTCAAATTAAATGATGTATAAATTAAAAAGGGAAATGTCAGGTTTCTGATAAAGGTTGGACGTTTTGAACTTTGGACAAAGTGACAGGTATCTTCGATTCTCCTGGTGCTGGTGCTTTTGTGACTGGGTGTGCATGGGCTTTTATGTCTGCTATTCTCTCTTTAAACCTTTGCTGAAGATACTTTTCTTCTTTGGAGTAGCTTTTAGCAAAAGCAGACATCAACAGGCATGCTGCCATTGTGGTCCCGCCAATACAAAATAAGATCGCTCCTGCCAGCTTACATATATCAAGGGCTCCGTTAAACTGAATGGCATGGTTATCCACAACAACGAAATCATCTTCTTCAAGGGCTTCGATTTTCGGTGGCACAAGAAAACCTACTACAAGAACTGTTAACCCGATCAGCATAAAAACCACCCCAGAGATGAGTCCGACCTGGAAAACAAACAGGGTTAAAAATGAATGTGGCCTCATCGTTTGTAACATTTTCATTGTCTACACAAATATTTGTCAATCCTACCAGGAAGCAGACGTTGTCTTCTGAGCCCTGATTCATAGAATTCAAATATGTGGATGAATTGCTATGTTGGAATCGTTTCTACAACTGATCTTTGTTTAAATCAACATATATATGGGAGCTTTCAGGAAAAAGAAATAAGCATGGGTAGAGGCTGTAAGCATGTATCATCACTGGATGATTACCCGTTCTGTTTTACAGGGAATAAACACCTGGCATTGGCCACTGTCTGAAGACCGGATACGGGGCTAGATGGACCATTGGTCTGACCCAGTAGGGGCGTTCTTATGTTCTTAACCTATTACTGCTACTAGGTGACAAAGCTCCTTCTTTAGCGCAGGTAGTGGAGGTCTGAGCTTTGGCACTGAAAGTCTTGGATTCAAACCCTGCTGAGGACCCATGGTGGGGTCATTACGTATGACCACCTCCTGTTTTCTGTCCATGAAATGTTTTATCTTGCAGAGGTTAAAAGGATGGTGTGGTAGAAATAAGTCACAATGTTGCATTTCCTTCCCAGTTTAAATAATAAGTGCAAAGATTGATTTCCACAGGATCCCTAACTTTTTAGTAAACCAAGCCCTTATTGTTTCCCTGATAGTTTGATCATACACGCACCTATGCTTTTATGAATGTCAATGAAAGCTATGTGTGAATGTGCTGAGAGAGTCATTTCTCCACACTTTTACAAATTACAGCTAAGATTTCAAAAGTGACTTGATTTTGTGTGCTTCAATTTTTGATGCTTAACGGGATATATATGTTAAAAGGGCCTCATTTTCAAAGGGTGGATGCTCAGCAATTACTGAAAACTGGGCCTGTACCAAATAATAGTTTCTGTAGAGTGATGAGTTGTACCTTCCAGAATGCAGAGCTCCACCTGCTAGGTGACCTCTGGATCTGAAAATCCTCCTCATGCTCCCAAATTGAAGCTGTGCAGTCCTCATAAAATTGATGCAGATAGGATCGAACTCCATAGCGTTGATAACTTCCCTCCGTGCCGCTCTGCGCTTGCTTGGAGCTGCAGATATCCGCATATGAGCTCATCCTTCTCACCTGCAATGAGAGATTTCACACAAGACAGACTCAATCAAAATGGGCTGCAAATAATCCCTTGATATGAGCTCTAGAAAGAGAAGAAGCCCTGTAGAGTTATCTCCATCCCACACTCCCAAACTAAGGGCTCAATCCTGCTAAGTGCTGAGCACTCCTGGCAGGTGTGGGGGGCCCTCAACTCCTATTGAAGTCAGTAGGCGCTGAGAGCCCTTGACACCTTGCAGGATTACACCCTAAAGATGGATCCGTGAACACTCAACAAAGTTGTTTTTTACACGTAGCATTTCCAGTGCCATAATTCATGATGGAACATCATTTAATTTCATGTAAATTTAGAGACATTGCATGACTGCGGGGCTGAGTGCCTCGATCTCTGATACAAATGCCATTACTATTAGTCATGTTAGGCATCGCTTGCTAGCTTTATCTGCTAATTTGGAACATTTCACAAACTCTTCTCGATGGCTTCATTTTTTCTTAAGCCTGTAAAACAGAGACATAACGGTGGGATTATATATAACTGTGACATAAATAGCCACGGGGGACCTGGTCATGAAGACTAGCCTTAAAATTAGTTTTTCTGAATAAAAATACACTCAAGGATGGAACATTTGTTCTATTATCTATAAATCAGAAAATGAAAATTATTACAAACTAACAAGCCTATTTTAATTTACTAGATGCAGATAGTAAATTTGTGAAGTAAAGTCTGGCCCCACTGACTGCACAAGGATTAGGATTTCACCCACTGCAAAAAGTAAATGCAGTGTTCTAAATTCTTTCCATTGTAATAAAGTACTAGTAAAACAAAGATTTTCTGTTTTAAATATCCAGGGCCTGACTCTGACCTCACTTATACAGGTGTAACTCCACTGAATTCAGCAGAGTTGCAGTAGTGTAAAATGAGTGTAAGTGAAATCAATCGGGCCTTTTAAAAATGTGTATGCCACTTTAATATGACATCTGTAGATGAGTATTTTAGAAGTATTATAATGCTTTTGTTATGGATTTAGTAGGATTATATGAACCAAAAGGTATGAATGAGACCTAACATCAGCTTCAAGTAACACACCTGACTTCTTAAAACAGTGCAATGCAAGCATACCTAACCTGTTTGTTTTAACAAGGTTCTCCCACTCCAGCCCCCTTTTCTTGCATTTTATAGGCTTCTATCCCCTTCAGTAACTAGTGCAATATCCCAAATGCACATGATTTCACTCACTATAGAATACCAGCTCCCTCTATGTTAAATGAGATGGACAAATACTGCATCACTCACTGAAATTATGTAAAAATCTGGAGCATGCTAATTAAAACCAATGGCAGAATTCGGCTCTTGGTAGGTACAGAAATTGGCATCGCTATGACACTAATCCTGTAATCCACTGGTTGCTTTCATCCCTGGTTGTTTTCATGACTCAGTGTTGAGGAATTTTATGCACTTTTCTCTGATAGTAGTAGCTTTTCTATTCCCCGGGTATTAATGTATTCCTGCCATTCTAGTTTCATAAGAATTTCTGTGGAAAGGCCTCAAAGCATTCTGATATATCAAGGCCAAATGGATCAAATCCAGTATCCAGGAGGCCTGCAAGCATGTGGAAGTTCTTTGTCCAATGAGATTTGGAGCCCACTCCATGACCACCTCCTGCACTGGAGAGTGGAGGTGCTGGTGAACAAGCTTTGCAAAGCTGCCACCCAGCATTCCTAGATCCTCTCTGTTAAGCATCCAGATGTCTGCAGATGCAGCCCTTGACTTCAGAGTGCTTAGAGCAGCGCTTCTGTGAGAAGCTCTCCCTGTGGGGAGTGGGATGGGAGTCCAAAGATTCCCATTCTCTTTTTTTTCCCTTCAGCCTCAAGACTCTTGTTCTTCCTCCCTAGGGTGTTTCCTCACAGACCAAGTCAAAGAAATAATATTCTCATTTTTCTGACTGATTTTCTTTCTGTTGATTGGTTGAGATGGCACAGACTCCCAGCCTAACGGTCTTCAACAAGAGACTCCCTTTAGTTAAAGAGGAAGGTAGATGTCTTTAAATCAGACATAATAAAGCTGGAGGCAGCCCCCAGAAAGCAAGACAATTCTATATGATTATTGGTCATTATCCTGCCTGTCTGATTTAAGGGAGAACTACACATCTGAAACACAGAAAGCAAATTAGCTGGTACACAGGTACATGCCTTTCCCTGGTGATAGAGTTACAAGGATATCAAGATGTCTTCTTACAAACCTTTTGGGCAACTGCAAAGCATTATTAGACAGGCATTGCAAATAGGATAATTTTTTCACGCAATGCACTGTCAACCTCTGGAACTCCTTGCCAGAGGGTGTTGTGAAGGCCAATACTATAACGGGGTTCACAAGGGAGCTAGATAGATTCATGGAAGATAGGTCCCTCAATGGCTATTAGCCAGAATGGGCAGGAATAAGTTAATGGTAGAATCCAACATGGACCCAGGAATCATGGCCTCTAATCCTCTGCACTTGACTGTGTACCGCACTAGACTATAAAGTGGCTGTATGAATTACCATAGCTTCCTTATCTGCACAGCCCTTTCATAGCTAGATTCATACTGTGATATATTCCTTCAAAGATATGACACAATAATATCTTATAATATACCTCAAACTGCCTTGCAATGAGGGGTAAGCATTATTATCCCCAATTATCAGATGTGGAAAATCGAGGCATGCGCAAATTATTATGAGGCTTAATTAGTATTTGTAAAGTGTCTTGAGCTCACCTGAGGGTGTGCCAAAAGAATTGAAGTGCACACACACAAATTAAGGGATTGACTAAGGTCAATATAGAGCATCACTGGCAGAGCAGGAAGTAGATTGCCATCCCTCCAATACCAAATAATTTCCTGATTCCCAGTCAAGTCCCATATATCGCAGGACAAAACTGTATCCTCATATAAACTGTATGTGTGTGTCTCCACTGACTTGCAACTTGTACAACCATTTTTAATTTGTGCATAGTGAGATCAGAATGGAAGTATTTTACTTGCACTTTACACAGATGTAAAGGACAACACAAGGTCAGTGGTAGGGGAGAATGAGGCCTAATGGGTCAGTTTGATTAGTGTGTCTGGCTGCTTTGTGTTGCTCTGGTTGTGCACAGCAGTTTCCTGGGGAAGTTAAGCTAGGCTGATAATTGCTTTGCATCAGCAGAATCATGCAAAGCAACTGGAGCATATCAGTGAATCTGGCCCAATATCTCTAGTGCTCTTCATTCTCCTCTGTAATTTACTGTAATTAATTCAAGAAAACATAAGGTAATATGGCACAGATTGACTAATTTGTAAAAATCAGCATAAATTAACTATGTACCACATTAAAAAAGGTACTGTATAGTTATTTTGCACTAACCACATTGTGTATCAGGAGATATGTTGTAAAATCTAATTCCTCACTGTGGGATTAACCCATGATAACCACACAATCTGGGATTACTTATTTTATATGTAGATTGTTTTCTATACTAAAACAAGTTTAGAGTGGAAATCTAGAATGTTTATAATTGCATTTGATTATTTATGAGTTAAAATGTAGATAAGTGTATCACAGAATGAAGGGTAGCAGACAAAAAAAGAAAATTTTAGTCAAAAGAGTGGAGCATAGTGTTACTGTTGTGACAGCTAGTTCATCAAATCATGATCTTTTTTTAGAATGAAAAGAAATAAACATCTGATTCAATTTAGCCAGTGCTACTGGATGCTTTCATGAACACCTTTATAACCCCTGCCCCTCCCCCCCACTCACCCTAATCACTGCTCAAACACACAGACAAATAAGCTGTTACATGTGGGCAAATCTATCCTGGCCTCTGGTTCTTCATGTAGAGATACTATCAGTTCCTAGACAGAGGAAGGAGAGGTTGCAGAAATTTTCAGTCCCCAATGGTGATTTGGAGTGGTGTAGTCTGTCTTCTGAGCTGCAACATGAATGTGGCTCTTGCTATATGAGAATGAGGCAGTGGAATTGAACAGAGTGCTGAAGGGAGGTGAGGTAAAGGAGTCCACAATAAATAGGTGGGGGAGTGTTCAAAAGCACCCATTTGTACCAGATCCATGTAAATGACAGTTACTGTGTTGGGGTGTTGAATGTATTGGCATAGGCTTCACTTTTGTGGATGTGGGTATGAAGGGCCAGATCCTTAAAGGTACTTGGGCACCTCACTCCCATTGAGGTGCCTAAATACCCTGAAGGATCTGGGCCTAAAAGCCTATGCTTGGGGATCTTTGGCCCAAAAGTGGGGTAAACATTGTTACCCTATATCAGTGTTTTGGTCTGAGCTTAGAGCTTGTATAAAGCCAAGGGACAGCTGTTCATATTTAGAATTATTCACAGCATAACAGCAGACCAGTGTAATCATTATCCATCTCTAGAAATACAGAGAAGTTACAATCAGAACTTCAGAACATGCAACTGCAGTGTAGCAATCCCCTAGCAACTTTATTCCATGGGGAAAGACTATCCTGTGTTTATTTTGCGCTTTATTACATTGCACGGATACAGCAGGCGAGGGGGTATGAGGGTAGTGATCAGTTTTGTGAATAGATGGGTAAAACATTGAGCATATTTCAGGAGAAACTACTGAATGAATTTTCAAACTGCTTCATGATAAATTAATTGTTTTAAGTATTAAATGTTTACCTTTTAGAAAACTGAATTTGAAAGCTATGCTAAAACTGAAGAAAATGACCCTGCAAATGTAAAACACAAATTAAAATGGGTTCTTACGTTTTAAGTCCTTCTCTTCTTTCTGATGTTAGACACTCTGATCTTTCTGTTTAAAGGCTCATCTTTCCAATCTTTACCTACAGGAAAAAGAGACCCCCCCTAGAAATAGTGAATTCTGGAGTAAATAACATAGATAATAATTCATGGGATAATCTTGATGCTTACAAAATCTAATATCCATACCTAATGTTCCCTTAGGATAGAAACCAAAGCAAGGCAGGCTGGGCCTGATCCAAAGTTCATTGAAATCAGTGGGAGTCTTTCCATTGACTTTAGTGGGCTTTGCATCATGCCTTTTATGTACAAGCCTCTTTTCTTGTTGAGGAGTCAATTGTGAGCTCTGTCACACAGCCATACAGAGAGGAATGTGGACATAAGGCACCCCATTAATTTCCTGCATGGGCTACACCCTTTTGTGTTCAGGGTATTGAACAGCTGCTATTCCCCAGTCTGTGCAGGTGGGTGGAGCCTGACTTCAGCTAAGGCAGCACAAAGGAGGAAGTAAACTACACCAGCGAGAGAAATGGCACAAATTACTTCCCTTAGTCAAGAAGGGGGAAGCAAAGACCATATTGTGATTATGTGAGGCCCCTGGTCTGCTCTGAGATCAGTGCAACTAGGCAGTATTCTTTACTAAGGGCTCCTGGTAATGCCACAGTCTCACACTTAGTGCATCACAACTTTTAAATAATGCTTCTTGCAACAGGTTAAATCTATTTTATCCGGGTGAGTAATTACAATATGATGCACCATACTGTAAATGAAAGTAATCATGATTTCAAGTTTCCTATACTTACACGCCTTTAGGAACAAGTAAGGAAGGCTATTTTTTACTTTTTCTTTGTTAAACAAGGTCGATGGCATCCCCCCAGATAAACGTCCAATGTACTTACTGTATAGTATAGCTCCTGTGAATATCTGTTGCAAAGGAATTCAACCCCCCATTCTAATCACATCAACAATCCCCACTCATTACCCTTCCTCTGCCCCAGGAAGGCAGGTTAGCCCCTCTTTAAAGAGATTTGTTTACATTTCAGTTACTACTTTCTCCACCTTCCATACTTATATTCACTAAGGTATCAGCAGAATCTCAGAGATGGCTGAGGCTTAGTTTTATTTTGATTAGCTGATAAACATTCCAGCTGCAGAACGCCCTCCAACAATGGAGAAGACCATATTTTCCTCTTCAGGTTAATCTACAGAAGACATAAACAACGCCTGAATTACTACTTGTTTTTGGAGCAGGGAGCGGAGTAAATCTCCCAGTGCCACCGATGGCACCAACAAGGAGGGAAGCAGTGCAACCCCCAGAGCAACTGGTTTCCTTGCACGCTTCGGATCTGCAGGAGGAAGTGGCCTTCAGTGCCCTTCACTGCTGCCTGGAGCGCGCTCTCCATGGTGCTGAAACCCAGCAGCGACTCCCGGGAGGCGAGCCGGCCTCACCATTTTGCTGTCAAGCGCTTCCAAAGCATCTCGCGAAGCAGCCGGCTCCCAGCAACTGGTGATTCGTTTTCACTTTGTTCTGCGGGGGGTAATTTACCGACGCACCCTTCGCCCAGCCAGACCAATACGGTCTGCTCCCAAAGACCAAAATATGAAACGAAAACGCCCTGGGCTTGTCCTGCACTTTAGCCGGCGCGGTCTCCAGTCCCAGCTGTGGAACCAACCCAAGAGCCCCTTTCCCATTGCAGGGCTGCCGTAGCGCCTAGGTTAGCAACGACGCCGAAGCGTTTTGCAGCTGCCCTCTCTCTGGGGGCAGGGAGAAGGGGGCTAATCTGGAAGTTCAATACCGTCCTGTAAAAGCCGGCGGCGGGATCTGCGGTCTGACCCGCCGGTTACTAGCACAGAAACGTGCCGCCTCCTCGGCTCAGCCTCCCCCCTTGCAAAACTGCCAGGGGCAAGTGCGTCCGCACAAGCCCGGCCCAACAGAGCCTGGGCACAGAGGTCCCCCCCATTCCACACCCCCGGCCCCCCAGCACTGCCCGCGCTCGGCGCTGGTTACCTGAGCCTCCCTGCTGCCGGCTGAGCAAGTGCAGCTGGGCTAGCTGCAGATCTCTCGCGCGGCTCCCATCTCCGCTCTGAGCCGCTCCGCGCTCAGACACCGCGTCTCATGTGTCCCCTCCCGCCGAGCCCGGCTCGCCCTGGGCCTGCGCACTCAGCCGCCGCTCCCGGGCGCTGCCGCGGCGGAGAGGGCGGGCGCAGCCGGGGCTGAGCGAGCGGCTCGCTTAACCTAGCCCGCTGCTGGAGACCCGCTCCCCGGCGCGTGGGCGCGCCCCTCCCCATCCCTGCCATTGCCCCACAGGCGCTGTAACTTCCTTTCCCATTGTTCACAGCGCCTCACAACCCGGCAGGCGTGAGAACTAACCGGGCAAAGCCCCGTCCCCTGGTAGGGTGCACGAGGGGCACTAAGCCAGAGATTCCCCCCTTCTCCCTCCCGTGCAGAAGGATCACAGGTCATGGATTTGAAACACAAGATGTCTGGCTTTGGCTAGGGCCCTTAAAGGTACTCCCCTGGTCCTGGAGAAGAGGGGCTGCTCGCCTTGAGCCCACGGAGACAAACGCTGTGACTCAGCATCCTGTGCCACCACCCAGCCGCTAGGGCTCAGTGGGAAATGCAAGATCAGGGGCCTGCTCCTTGGTGGACTGGGAATCAGCAGACTTGAGTTCCAATCCTGGCTTCTGTCTCTACCCCACTGTGTGATGTTGGCCCAGTCACTTCCCTTTTGTGCACCTATTTCACTTCCTTTGTCCCGCCGGTCTCCTTAGACTGTAAAATCTGCAGGGCCAGGACTAGCTCTCACGATCTTATAGTTTATAGCCTGCCTACAACAATGGGGTCCCCGTCGGGGAGGGGGGATATCTAGGCACTGCTGCAATAGAAATAATAAATGATTAAGTTGTGTATCTGTCCATCTCATTGTCCACGTATGGTGTGTTAAACCCAAAGGAATCCACGCTCAGCAACGCCCAAGCTTGCAGGGCTGCTTCCATATTGTGAGCAAGAGGAAATTGTATCATGTGTCTTTATAATAATGATCCCAGACCAATGGTATCTCGTGTATACAGGGCGCTGGGGCACTGCCCCACCTGTGTGTTTAAGTATGAATCACAGCTTGCTATAGATTTGCTGTGTGTGAATCATATGTAGTAGTAGGGCATTCTTCTCCACAACCCCTGTGGCACATGCCGTCAAGGCCTGATAGGAGGCAAAGCTGTGGCAATCTGTATTGGGATTTCGGCCTCTGGCTTCACCATCCAAGCCACAGGCTGCAATGACTGTAGAGTGCTCCCACCCCCACAGTGGTGTGTCAGGGAAGCACTGTGTGCTAGGACTGGCTCTGGTGGTAGGTTCTTGCTCATTCTCTCAGGATCTGCTGGCTGGGGTTGTGTGGCTCACTGCTGCACTGAAGGCAGCAGAGCTACTGGAGGGAGGCCTTGCCCCTGCAATGAAGGTGGAGATGCTGCTGAAGGAGGCTTCACCAGGCAGGGTAGGAGGAGGCAGCAGTGGAGAGGGGGGATGTGACAAGAGGGAGAAGAGGAGGAGGTTCCCACGAAGGAGGTCCAAGCAGTCCCAGGACTGGCCCAGCTAAGCCAGGGCCCTAGCCAGCATAGGAAGGCAACTTTCCTAGGGCTGATCCTCCCTTTCTCTAGGGTTGGGGGTGGTGCCATAGGGGTAAGTGGCCATGATTTTTATTGTCTGCTACACCCCACTTGCCCCAAAGTTCACCAGCTGCCACTACCTTAGATGTAGGACTTAGTAGTGCCATAGTGGCAATGAATTTGTCAGGGGCAAATAATTAGAATCCTAGTCTGGATTTCATGTCTTCAGGTTGGTTGGCAGATAACTTCTGTAGAATGGCATTGACAAAGCAAAGGAGAACAGTAGTGTGCCAGTTCACCACCTGTACAGCACCTTTCATACCTGATAATCCTTTTTGGCCTCTGCTTGCTTCCTCCATTAGTGCAAATAGCACAAGTCCATTGATTTCGGTGGCATGACACCAGTTTACACCTGCTGACGATCTTGTCTCTGGTGTTTCTGTTGGTCTGTCACCATGTGGTGTGGATGGGGAAGCAGTCTCTGGTTTAAATGGAGGTACTGCTGTCTCAGCCTGAATGTGCAAGGTCTACATTCTTTAGTCCTGTCTGAGAATGTACAGTCTGCACTTAAAACACAAATGTAATATTTTAAAAGTGCTGTAACTTGATGCCTTACAACATTTTTCTAGAACACTAGAAGGGCAGCATCATTGTGGTTCCTAAATTACATTGCAGATAGCTTTGAGAGTCAGAAAAAGAAGACTGCAACTAATGGAGAATCCATTCTGAAATAACTATCTTACAGATAAGGAGAAAAGGAATGAGGCTGTGAAAATATGTGGGAAGCTTTGCACCTGTGACCCCAAAAAGAAGTGGATTATCTGACAGCAAAAGGATTTCAGGAGAGGAAATCTGGGGGGATTAAGTAATCTAGTGAACGAGCTGTTAGAAAGGAAGCATTAAAACCCATGGGTAGCCAGGGATTTTAAAAATGTGCCATAATTGAGATACAACTAACCATTCCTCTGGGAAAAAATGAGAACGTAAAGAAAAAGAACAGACAATATAGTGTCACAAAAGACTGCTAAAGGATCTGAGGTTTATAAAAGCCCACCTATACTGAAACAGGAGAATGGGGGAGTAGTCAACCAAACAAGAATGCAGAGAGTGAGCCAAGGCTTTTAGGAAAAATATAAGGACACTAAAACAGAATGAATTAATGCTAGCCAAGGGGAAAGCAGGAAGATTTTATAAATATTTAAGCACTTTTAATAAATGAGGAATAAAATGAGATTAATGATGAGTTTAAAATAGCTGGGACACCAAACTCCTTTTCTAAAAATCTGTCTTCGCAAAGAAAGATAAAAGCAGTTTGGATAGTTTGGAAATAAGGAAGTCCTTGTTAAAATAGCTATTGATTATGTGCAAATAAGGGAATGAACATTTGAATGTATAAAAATGAGCTGGCCTAGATGTCATGAGTTGTAAATTAGTGTGATGCCTTTCATGGTTACATTGAAGACAACAGGGCTACAGGTAGAACAAGGTGCTACTCGGCATGAGTAATGGTATCACAATCTGACCCTAAGAGAATTACCTAATGAAATTTCTGCACCGTTGACAATTATTTGTGAAAAATCATGGAGATCTGGGAAGGTGGCAAATAGGAGAAAAGGAAATAGAGTACTAATCTTCAAAATAAGAGAAGAAGAGAGTTCCTGGTTATTTGTCCTGTAGGTCTAAAATCTGACTTTCATTCACTACCAACCTTTCTGGACCTAGGAATGAAAGATGTTCTATTCCATTCCCAACCTTATGAGTCATCTAGTCCTCTATAAATAAGTACATATGCTACTTTCACAAAACAAGCTATTTCTGCTCATTCACTTTATTGACAAAAGGGAATAAATAGAAGAAAATATGAAATACCTGTGACTGCACATCAACAATCATAATGTCACTATATAAATACATAATATGCCCACACATTGAATATTGCATGGAGTTCTGGTCATCCCGCCTCAAAAAAGATATATTAGAAATGGCAAAGGTACAGAGAAGGTCTACAAAAATGATTAGGGGGTATGGAACAGCTTCCATATGAGGAGAGATTAAAAAGACTGGGACTTTTCAGCTTGGAAGAGAGACCGCTAAGAGGGTGTAGTGGGGCAGTTGCCCCACTTTGGCAGAAGAGGGGTTAATAGCAGCCCTTGGAGCAGCTGTGTACAACCCAGCCAATCAGCGAAGGGCAGAAAGGCAGCCAGTCAGGGCCAGGCTTGGCCCTATATAAAGGCTGCAAAGCAGAAGAGATAAGAGTCTCTCCTTGACAAGCAAGGGAGGAGGACTGGCTCCCAGGGATAGCACCTTAGATAGAGCAGTGTTCAGCAGGCTTAGGGGAGTAGAGGGAAAGCTCCAGCCTGTTACCTGTCAGGGTGATGCCCCTGAAAGAAAGGGCTGAGAAGGTGTAAGGGCCAAATGGAAGTGGCCCAGGGAGCATGAGCAGTAGAGGGGAGAGAAGGAGGGCAGGACATGGCTGCTGCCAGAAGGTCCCTGGGTCAGGACCCAGAGTAGTGGGTGGGCCTGGGTTCCCCTTGTACTGCACCTGACATGGAGGAGTGTGGCTGATACAGACTGCAACTTGCCCTGAAGTGAGGGGCTAGACTTTCAGTTGTGGTTGGCCACTGAGGCAGGTACAAGCCGAAGGGCTGCCGTTACCCCCGGAAAGGGGTGTGTCCAGAAGAGGACACTGCAAGCTAGGGAACAATGTGGGTCTCAGACAGCACAGCTGAGCAGGCAATGGGTGGGACACCACCTGCAGCGGGCGCTCTGCAGCTAGGACAGAGCTAATTCTCGGAGCGACCAGCAGGAGGTGCTGCAGAGGTGAGTCTGCAACCTGCTACAGAGGGGTTCTGATACAAGTCTATAAAATGATGAATGGTGTGGAGAAAGTGAATTAGGAATGTTATTAACCCCTTCACATAACACAAGAACTAGGGGTCACCCAATGAAATTAATAGGTTTTAGGTTTAAAACAAACAAAAGGAAGTACTTCTTCACACAATGCAGCGTCAACCTGTGGAACTCATTGCTGGGGATACTGTGAAGAGTGAAACTATCACTGGATTCAAAAAAGAATTAGGTCAGTTCATGGAGGATAGGTCCATCAATGGCTATTAGCCAAGATGGTCAGGGATGCAACCCCATACTCTGAGTGTCCCTAAGCCTCTGACTGCCAGATCCTGCGACTGAGTGACAGCGATGGATCTCTTGATGATTGCCCTGTTCTGTTCATTCCCTTTAAAGCACCTGACATTAGCCATGGTTGGTAGACTGGATATTGGCTAGTTGGACCATTGGTCTGACCCATTATGGCCATTCTTATGTCACTAGCAGTACTAATTTGTTTTCTGACACATGAATAACACTCAGTGAACCAAGACAGCTATTGGTATTGTATCAAATGGGAGAATTATAAAATCAGCTATTATTATTAAGCATAGGTACATACAAGGTCAATTTCAGCTCTCAGTAACACCAGTATAATTCAGAAGCAACTCCACATATCCTTACTGTTTACAAAGTGAACTCAGTGGAGTACCCCAGTGTAAAACTAACG